CCTATAGTCTATTAAATTCGGCTGAAAAATCTCTCATTGAATCATAACCATGCAGATATTTGATCAAAAATAGCTCCTTTCATCTATAAAAAAGATATTTAAATTAGGTGAATGATATTTCTTGTAATTTAGCTTAATTTTTTATCACATGAAATTTTAAAATCATCAAATCTAAATTGTTTTAAGTTCATAATATCTAGCATCAAATCAGTAAGACATTATTGAAATAACAAGTAAATGAAATAATAGTATAGAGGTTTTAGATTAAACATCGACCAATGACTTTTGTTAGAAACTAAAAGAAGGAGAAAAAAAAGTATTTTTCATCTTTTTCTTTTACAATTTCATTGATTTAAATATTATGTATACAATGTGTATAAATTTGCATGAATAATGTAATTACGTAGTTTATACGTATGAATGAGAAAGCTATCGCCGCCTCGATTTCAGCGGATAAATAGGAGGCGTGTCTAGAGATGACGTGTCTCAACGCAAGCGAAAGAGTCCAAAGGGGTGACGTGGCGTCAATCTAATCATCGCTTTTCTTCCGTTAAATATCAACTAACGGTGACGGCGAGATGATTTCTTGGATTCCCATACGCTAAAGCCTACTCCTGTGCATTTACCTTTCTACCCTTGTTTAAGCTTTGTTGTCCCACTTTAATTGGATTGGAAAAAGAAGTTAGCCGTTGGACTACTTTTTAATCAAAGAATCAATGACCATCTTAATATATATTTCTTTTGGAAAACCCCCATGTTTTTCGCATGTAAATTCAAATAGTAAAATTAAATTTATAAGTTTAATCTAAAGAGCGAACAAGAGTTTCTCAAGTCGATATAATCATTTTATTTATCTTGCATGAGTATCTGAAATCAATACTAGCTAATAGACATTATAGAAACATCTATATAATTTAGGAATTCCTAGCAAACTTGAAATGTTACGTATCAATTATAGTAAAGTCAATTTGCTTATTATATATATTTTTTAAACAATGTATTACTATTTGAGTTCAAGTTAAGTGCAAACAAGTTTTTGTAAGTTATCGTCCAGCAATTTATTGTCGAACTTTATCTTTAGACTACAATATTCAAATAAATTGATGGTAAAGTAAACTATCAAGATTTGGAACAATTTAATTTAATTTTTTCCAAACATTTTTTTAATAAAGAAAAGGTAGAAGTCCAGGTTAGATTACGACTTTGATCTAACTCTCTATATAAGTACATGCAGGCATACAGAAAACAAGACACAGAAACATATAAGTCATTTTCTCTTTAATTTTGTCGGTTGTGAGAGTTTCTCATCTTCTCATCTAACGTTGTAATTACTCTTTTGATCGTGTGTGAAGATCTAAAAAAAGGTGCGTGACAATCTTCAACTTGTAATGCCTGTGATCAAGAGTACATGATTCTCAATTGGCTTCAAAACCAAATAATTTCAGGGCCTAAAGAACCCTAATTAACATTCACCATACTTAATTATGCTGACCCCACCAACAAAAGCAGCCCCCCTGACTCTTCCAAGGGCCTATTCGTAAATACTCAAAAGGTTCGGTAAATTTTGACAAACAAGAATCCACGTTATCCATCTACCCGTTATAACTAACGGCGTCATCAACTAAATTTTACATAAAAGGACCTATAAATAAACAGACAACAAAGATAAACACCCCAAAACTCTCTAAAACCAAACTCGGGACCAAGAACGAAGAAGAGAAAAAGAAACGCTTTCCTCTTTCTCAATTGAAATCTCACTCAAATTCCTCTCTCTCGCTCTCTAGATTCTCTCTCTAGAGTTAGGGTTTCGATCGATGGAAACTGAGTCGCCGGAGAGCGGAGGCGGTGCGGTCACCGCCGCCCCCGTCGCATTCGAGTTCCCCGCCGGAGATCCGACGGCGGAGACGGCGTCGACGCCGGTGAAGATACCGCGGAGGATCAGGAGGAGGCTGATTGAAGGGAAGAGTGGCAGTTCTCCTCCTTCGAGCGTGGAGGAGATCGAGGCTAAGCTTAAGGAAGCCGATCTTAGACGACAGGTATCAACGATTTCTTTTTTTAGGGTTTTTATTTGATTTTTGGGTATATTTTTAGTTTTATTAATCTTGTGGTTATTGGAATTGGTTGATGTATTATTTTTATTTACTTCAAGATTTTCCTTGAAGAATTGGGTATTTGGTGTGGGAAAATTTGCCGGGTTTTATTGAATTTGGATAAAAGTACTATTTTTAGTGTAATTTAGTGTTAAGAACTAAAAAAATTCCAATATTTTGCTTTTTAAGGTTAAAAAAAGTACTAACTGTGCTCCTAAGTTTAGCTTTAGGAACATCAAAGTCTTGTAAATGAGATGTTAGGTATGTAACTCTACTGAGTAGAGATTTTAATTGCTTACTGTAATTTCCTCAAGATTTTTTTTTTCTTTCAATGTAGTGTTAAGAACGCCTGGCCCTGAAATATTTGTGTAATAAAGAATAGGAGGAGAAAAAAATTTAACTGGAAAATTGATTTACTATTTTGTAAGTATTTAGGTAAATAGAATATGTGAGCATTGAATATTTCTTAATGTACTCTTCATCCCTTCTTCAAGAAAATTGTTTCAGGTTTTGATTTTTTTAAAGGTTGAAACTTGGCTGGTTATTTGTCTGATCCTCTGTTTGTTTTACTTAAAGTAAAGCTGTGATTGAGGTGTCTTTTCCTTGTTATTTCCAATCCTTATAGATGTTAATTTTGTTTATGTAATGGAACCTTCTGATGTTGTGAATATTACTAAAATATTTCTTTGGACAGCAATTTCATGAATGGTTATCTAACAAGGCGAGACCAAAACAGCGAAGTCCATCCTGGTCATCTCAAGAGGAGGATCTCGGTCAGCGTCTTGAAGCGAAGCTTAATGCAGCTGAACAGAAAAGGTATTTACTTTGCATTTTTTGTACTTTACTCTTTGTTAGAATATAAAACAATAACCCTCAACCCTCGACTTTGGAGTTTTGGTGTGGTGGCATATTCTTTTGAGACTCTTAATTGACAATTGTTCTATTTGTAACCTTTAAGTTTGTTACTGAAATTGATATTTGAATGGTAGAGTATACACAAAACAGGTAATGCCATCTTTTGATAACTTTTGGTTTCTTTCTTATGTTTGATCTGAACTTTGGAGGTTTGTTCCTTATAGCTTTCATAACTTTATTCAATCATAGAGATATCAACATGGCATCTGCATCCACTTTCCTTCCCGTCACTTAAAGATGTCCTTAACATAGTTCTTTATTAATCCTTTTAAATATATACACACTACTCACGATCAACTCGTAGTATATCATTTTTATTTTTTGCATTCTAGCATGTAAAATCTGAGTGTGTAAAATTGCTAATGCTTCTTATTACTTCCACTTCTAGGTGAGAAACTATTTGTTAACATCATCTTCTTTTAAATTAAAGGTTAAGTCTCTTGGCAAAGGCCCAAACACGGTTAGCTAAGCTGGATGAACTACGACAAGCTGCTAAACATGGTGTGGAGATTCGGTACGAGAAGGAGCGTGAAGAGCTTGGCACAAAAGTTGAGTCTCGTGTACAGCAGGCTCAGGCAAATAGGATGCGCCTCTTGAAGGATCACATGCAGAGACGAGCAGTTGCACAAGAGAGAACTGCAAGATCATTGAAGCTGAGGATGGTTCGTGAGAGCAAGTATAAAGATTGTGTCCAATCAGCAATTTTTCAGAAACGTGTTGCTGCAGAAAATAAGCGAATGAGAATGTTGGAGGAAGAGAAGACAAGAGTTCACGCCAGAGTAATGCAAGTATACAGAGCAGCAAAAACTGTACGCCATCAAAGAGAAAATGAGAGGAGAAAAATGAAAGAAGAGTTGGAAAATCGGCTTCAAAGGGTAAGACAATGCCTATTAAAGTCAGTTTTTTGTTGAGTTAATAAGTGGAGATGAATATAAACTTGTCTTTTTTTTATAAATCATGATGATGAACAGGCAAAACGACAGAGGGCAGAGTACTTGAAACAGAGAGGAAGTCCTCACAGCTCTGCTCGCGCTACATCCAATAAATGTGGTGACCATCTTTCAAGAAAACTAGCAAGGTGACATGTTTTCTTGTTGGGTTAGGGTATCCTTCTCTATATGAAGACAAATGTAGGTCTCATGTTTGTATTCTTGAGTGCAGGTGCTGGAGGCAGTTCGTGAGGTCAAAAAGGACTACTTTTGATTTGGCTAAATCTTATGAAGCTCTTGGGATCAACGAGAAACGTGCTAAGTCAATGCCATTTGAACAGCTTGCTCTGTGCATGGAGTCAGCCACAACTCTTCAGACAGTAAAAGCTTTCCTAGACCGGATGGAAATTCGCTTCTTACTCTCTCAGGTGTCCAGTTCAAGTCCAGAAAATATAGACCATCTGCTAAAGCGCCTGGCAAGCCCAAGTAAAAGAACACCCTCTAGCAAAGCTTGCTATGGCAGAACACCAAGGTCCAACAGAGGGACATCAAAAAAGGGGTCTGTTAGGGAACAGAAAATTCCTGGAGCAAATAAGCAGTCTAGGTATCCAGTGAGGGTAGTATTGTGCGCATACATGATATTAGGTCATCCAACTGCTGTTTTCAGTGAACGAGGTGAACGTGAAGAGGCTCTTGAAGAGTCATCTGCTAACTTTGTTCGTGAATTTGAATTGTTGATCAAAATTATATTGGCTGCACGACCAGTGAAGCAAACTTCAGTCCAATTGCCTTGTCAGCGCACCTTTAGAAGCCAGCTATCAGCTTTTGATGCTGCTTGGCGTTCCTATCTTTATTGCTTTGTGGTGTGGAAGCTCAAAGATGCAAGATCTCTAGAGGACGATCTTGTAAGAGCAGCCTGCCAACTTGAGCTTTCCATGTTGCAGACATGCAAGCTAACTCCTGAAGGACAACAAACTTGTGATCTCACTCACGATCTGAGGGCTATAAAGAAACAGGTTGGTTTACCTACTTAAGCTTTCTGATTTTCTCCATTTGGATTGCTTTCTTACAATAGTTCAATTTGTCAGGTATAAGTTACGCATTTTTTACTTTTGTTTAGCCAAGACAAAGGTCAATCCATTCAATAGATATCAGTTGGTTGTGGTTATCTGCTCCATGTGTTCGTTTTTTTACACAGTATTGCAAAGGAACTGGCTAGACGATAATAACAATGGATTTGGTTAGCGGGCTTTAACAATTTGTAGGGACTTGAGCTCTATATTTTTCAGTTTAACCTGCCTAATATCAGTCTAGATGGATATTTATGCTATATTACTGCAAAAGTAAACAATTATTCTCTTTGAAATTTAACGTTCACGATCAAAATTTTGTGGATCTTTATTTTATTTTATTTTATTTTTGTTTGCAAACATGCACACATTGGGCACTTGTATATGCAACCGAAAATAATGAGGTTTTAAGAATTAATTGCATTAATTCATGTATGCCATCGTGAGATTGTGCAATCAAAACAGCATTAATTACTTCATGTATGAGCCTCAATGTCTTACCCCCAGCAACTTCATGACCTGTGGATTTGCAAAGGCTTGACCATTCACACATACATACTGTCTTCCTTCTCCATTTCTCCTGTATATGCAATTCTTCATAATTTTTGTTACTGCAATAAGTGATATAGTAGCATTTATTCTGTTACAAGTTAACATTTGGCTACATATTTGACATTCCTAGCTAGAACCATTCAGTCATCCATCCTCAGCAACCCAAAAGAAGCCCTATTTACTGTTTGGGCATCTGACACTGAGATTGTGTGGTGGTACTTATTTGTGTAATGTCTACATCTGTGCCATGTGGAACTTCCAATTCATTTTCTTCATATTATGTTTAGGTAACCGAAGACCAAAGACTTCTGAGGCAGAAAGTGGAGCACCTAGGTGGCAGTGCAGGAATTGAACGGATGGAGTCTGCTTTATCAGATACAAGATCCAAATTCTTTAAAGCAAAGGATAATGGAACTCTTTTGATGGCCCCTGTTGCTCATGTGCCGTCTCCTTCATCCTGCAGTTCTTCTATGCAGCCTTTGGAACCAGTCTCAAAGGAGCATGCTGTTGTAAACAGTGTAAGATCCAACGTGGTTAGGACACTATTTAGTGATGGCGCTTCTTCGTCACCTGAAGTTGGATTAAAATCCCAAGGAATAAGTTCACAGTCAAGTAGTTCTCAAGCCAAACAGCAGCCAACAGAAAACGAGCTTCTTGTGAACGAAATTCTCCATGGTGGTCAGAGTACACTGGTTGATAGAGAAGAAACCGGTATTAAGGTCAGTAGACTTATTCAATGTGTCTTTGCTGTTATAATTTCTCATTATTTCTCAGAATGCATTAGTTTATAGTATAGGTGTTTTTTTCCAGGAAACCACTTTAAAATAGGCTCATTACACATAAACCACCTTCTATTTTCAATTTATAGGTAAACCGCCATTAAAGTGGGTTTTTGTTCCAATCGATCACCTCCTAGTCAAATTTTTACTAAAGAATCAAAAATAACCTTAAGCAACACACATTAAAGATACATGACTTGTATCGTAACTAGACCAAGTGAGTCACGTACCTTAAATGTGGAAATTTTGACTGGAAGTTGGTTGACTGGAATAAAAAACTCGCTTTAAAGGTGGTTTATGTATAAATTGAAAATGAAAGGTTATTTCTGCATAATGACCTATTTTAAAAGCTGTTTATTTGGAACTATAATATATATGTCCTTGGAGCTTAAGGCCAGTGTACATTGCTTTACCTCAGTTGGCGTTAACCTTAGATCAGCTGTCAAACTTTATCCGAACTTGATTCTTAGGGTTCTCTGTGTCAACCAATACATGTCACAGTTTACTTTATGTTAAAGCCTGGCCAAATTAAGTCCATGTCTACAAAACCCTCCTTATGAGACAAAAATGTGAGGAAGTAGTGTTGTTTTTTTGCCATATTCAGCGACAAAATCTCTGATAATTGGTGCTGAGATAATCATTTTGACACCTTTTTTCCATCTTCCATCTGAACATTTGTTTCCATCTTGACAGGCAAAGGTTAAAGAAACCATGGAGAAGGCGTTTTGGGATGGGATTATGGATTCTATGAGGGAAGACCCCCCTGATTACAGTCGTATATTGGGGCTTGTGATGGAGGTGAGGGATGAACTAATTGGAATGGCCCCGAAAAATTGGAAACAGGAGATTCTCGACAGTATTGACATGGACATTCTTTCTCAGGTAAATCAACAGTACCTTCATTGTAGTATTTAATAACAAAAAAATTGGGACCTTTAAGATTTAACTGTATTCATGCACAACCGAAAAGCATATCTATCTTTCAAGAAAAACCCATTTTTGCAAATGAAAGATATAGGATTAACAAGATGACCTCTCCGATTTGTTTCTACTTTGCAAAAAGTTCCAATAATATAATTCAAATAGAGTCAGTATATGCATGTTGTCAATTAACAGTCATGTGGATGTTTCTCCAGTTCAGTTGCCTTTCCTTCTCTAAAGGACAAATCTCCTACTGGGGTAGCTATTTTAATGTATTGCTACTAGTTTGGTTCATATGTGACTAGCATTCTCATTTGTTTCCTGTTTCCTTTTCAAGTTACTCAAATCAGGTACTCAGGACATGGAATATCTTGGAAGGATTCTGGAGTATGCACTTCACATGCTGCAAAAATTATCTGCAGAAGCAAAAGAAGTTGAGATGAAAAAAACCCATGATAAATTACTCATGGAATTGGCATCTATTGCTCACTCTGATGACAGAGAAAAAAACTCCTTTGTTATTGCCGTAATCAAGGGTTTGCGCTTTGTGCTGGAGGAGATACAGGTACTTCAAATTAGTATTATTACTTTTTCTTGAAGGAGTAATGTCTACTCAATATACATACATAGCGGGTAATTTTAGTTATTGTTGTTTTGCAAAGAGCTTGGCCATATTTTTGGATAATTTCTGAATATCTGCCTATTTTACTGACAGGATCTTAAGGTAGAAATTAACAAGGCACGAATGCAAATTATAAAGGGATATGGAGGAGTGGAATATTTGCAGAAGGCATTTGTTGATCGCTATGGACCTGCTTCTGGTGCTGCTGACTTGCTTCCAGTAACAGCCCAATGGATCTCATCATTAAAGAACATTTCAGAAGATGAATGGAATGAACATAATGGTTCTGTTTTGAGCACATCAACAAGCCATGTATGCTTTTCCTTAGGTTCTTTTATGAATGAATTTTATTGTTTTATATTCTATAACCACCTAATTAGATGTTCTATTTCCAGGGTCTTCCTGTTGGCACTACCCTCAGGACTGGTGGTAGCATTCCCCTAGCACGAAATGATAGTTCTCGCCATGATTCAGGTGTGAAATTGTTAGAATTTTTTACATTGCATGGTGGTTTCATAAATCTACAGTCTATTGATTGCTATGAGATATGAGGTTGAGTGATGTGTAAAAGATTGTTCAAGATTATGACTTGAAGACACCTAGTTTATGGTTATTGTAACTTAAGATTTTCTACAATTAGTTTGCTAGGGTAGGAAATAATACATCAATGACTATTTTGCAGGTGATGAAGATCTACCAGAGTGCAAAGGAGAAAAGCTCGACTTAATGTTGAGACTTGGTTTGCTAAGACTTGCAAGTGGCATCGAGGGATTAACAGTGGAGACGGTTCCTGAGACTCTTGAAATGAATGTTCGAAGATTGAGATCTGTGCAGAGCCAGCTACAGCAAATTATAGTTACCTCAACAAGGTAAAAAAATCACTCTTTATATTTCCATTATCTCTGTAGTCATATACATTCTATAGCTCTAATATATCTTCGATTTTACATATGCAGCATGTTGGTGCTTCGACAAATCCTTCTCTCCGAAAACTCTGCTTTGTCACCATCAGGGTTAGAGAACACAATATCTGATTCTTACAAAAGCCTCACCAAGCTTTTGGACACAGTACAAGACGTGGGCATCGAAGAAATGGTCAACACGATTGCTAGCTCATCCTCAGAATCAAAGCTTCATACTAAAAAGGAGATGATTGCTAGAATTCTCACAAAGAGCTTACAGAGCAATGATGCTGTTTTTATGAAAGTTTCTCGTTCCATATATTTATCAACGCGTGCAGTTGTGCTCGGTGGCAGTGGAGACCAAGGGCGAAAACTAGCAGAAGCTGCGCTTAAACGAATTGGGGCGTCAATGCTTTTGGATCAAATAGTAAAGGCAGCGAAAGTGTTGATTGCTGTTGCTAGGGTTTCAGCAAGCGTTCATGGGCACTGGTATAGATCCTTGATGTGATGAAGCTTTAGTCAAAAGTTGTATACATTGTAAATAATATTGTATAAGAGAAGGATGACATTCGGTGGGGTTGTAAAGGTTACGTGACTGGCGGGGTTTTACTGTTAAATATAGTTATTAGGTATGTTAAATATAGTTATTAGGTATATTGTATCTCTTTTTTTTAGTCCCACATCATTTAGGTTATTAAAACTTCTTCTCTTGTTCTTATATTTGAACACTTCAGTGCAATGAATAAAATTATTTATTTTCTCCCAAAAGTTTTATTCTTATCATCATATCGGAGTCATCCTCTTCATCCCAGAGAGACCTCTTTTTTTCCTCTACATGGAGTTGTCGAAGGTTTTGCCTAAAACTCCGCGTTGCCCCTCGGCGGCCTCGTTATTGGATTCAATGCACAAAGCGATGCGGAAACCTCTGTTCAGAGTAAAACCCTAGTCCTAACCTCGTCATAATGACACTGTTTATATGTAGGCTACTGTTCATCCGCTTCATCGCATGCACACAAGGTGTTCGACGAATTGCCTTAGCGAGATTTCTCCCTCTTTTAGCCGGCCTTTGGTCAAAGATCTCTCCAACCAAGCACTTTCCACTCACCGATGCTTGCAAAATCCGGTCACAGCGCCTCCTCTCACAACCGTAGGTCTGCCCTCTCGCGACCACCGTGCATGACTGCCAATCACTATTGCAACACCATACCTCGCCGCCTGCAAGATCTAGTTATCACACATTCTCCCGAGAGTGCAGGTCCACCCTCTCGAGACCACCGTGCGTGACCGTTGATCACCGCTGCAATAACATGATCTCGCATCCCGCAATTCTAGCCACCGATATGCTCCAATTCAACCACCTCTCGTCAAGTCATGCCAATAACCATCTATGCAAATTCCGCTCGTCTTATAGAAACTCTCGTTTCTCTACCGACTGTGAGTTTGATCGGAGGTGTTAAATATAGAGTTATTAAGCATATTGTATTTCTTTCTTTTAGTCCCACATCGCTTAGGATAGTAAAACTCTTCTCTTGCTCTTGTATTTAAACACTTCAATGCAATGAATAAAATTGTCTATTTTCTCTCAAAAGCTTTATTCTTATCATTCACAACAAAGAGAATCGAATTTCTGAGGGAGTGAGGGGGTCACAGTACAAGGTTTCTTTTAAATTTAGATTTGTATTTGTTTGAACTGCGAGTCTTCAGAGCACAGAGTTAAACAAAGAAGTTATTTGTAATATCCTGGGATTTGGAACTCAACAACACCCGGTAGATGTGACCCTCGGATTAAAAATAGCGTAGGCGTTATCTTTCTTAAGATACAAATGACAAGAAAACAACATCAAAACATAGATTTCGATGTAACGTGTAGGCGTTATCTTTCTTAAGATACAAATGACAAGAAAACAACATCAAAACATAGATTTCGATGTAACGTAATTTTGGCAAGAAAATAACATCAAAATAGACAAGAAAACAACATCAAAACATAGATTTCGATGTAACGTAATTTTGGCAAGAAAATAACATCAAAATAAAAAATTTTGACCTAATGTAATTTCCCCAAGAACTATTCCAATATATTTTCTTAAGCCGCTAATTACAAATATGAGAACCGAACCCCAAACCCCTTCAGCAACCAAGTTGAAGTCCTATACAATGTATTTTCTTAAAACAACATCAAACCTCTTCGGCCACTGAATTGGAGTCTCACAAACAGTGCTACAGTAAAGAATAGGCTAGTGGGTTATATGGTTTAAATTGATACCCCACGTCACAAGTGCTAATAATAATCATGAAAAAAAAAATCACCATCAAAACCTCTCCTGATTTTCCAATACCACCCAATCCTAAGTAAGCTTCTGAGTTTTTTGTACATTGTTTTCTTCATCATCGTCCTCTTCGCTGTTATCCATTATCACCTGTGAATGCTGGATCGAATTCGAACAAATTAGCAGTGATTACATGAGCCAAACCTCATAGATGCCCTTCATTTTCCCTTTTATCTATGATGTTTGCCTAATCTGGTGACACCGTGACCCAAACCTCTCATAACCACCATGATGCCCTCCATGTACATCATCTAAGACTGTGGTCATTGCAGTAGATTTGGGTTCTCGGTCGACCCCTAATGATTTGGTCCTTTCTATCACCTGAGCCTACACCACATAAAGTATTCAAATATTAAGTCAACAATATTATTATAAACATGTTCAAGAAAATTATTTCAATTAGTCGAAAACATAACACTTACACAATACTCCTGAGTTTGGGTGTCGGGATATGTACATGAATATATATCAGCTGCTGGATCGATTAACGTCGTGTGGGTACCCAAATACTCCTTTAATGCACTTGAGCCGCCACCTGATTCTTCGATCCAAGCTCTCTGTAATTCACCAAAACATAAATTTGTATAAGATATTGTATCATAAATCAATAAATGCATTTTTAAAACTCTTAAGAATTAATTTTACCATTCTCTCTTTTGCCCGAACCATGCTCCTCGAGCCACCCGTATAGGTTGCTCGACCTCGCTTCTTTGACTCCTGATTATCTTTATCGAACCATGCTCCTCGAGCCACCCGTATAGGTTGCTCGACCTCGCTTCTTTGACTCCTGATTATCTTTATTTCTTTTTGCCTCCGCCTGCACAAAAATAGGTTGCTCGACCTCGCTTCTTTGACTCCTGATTATCTTTATTTCTTTTTGCCTCCGCCTGCACAAAAATGTAAGATGTATATTGTGATCCAAAAATAAGCACATGCCAAACATTGAATTATTTGTTAACCATATACCTGCTTCTTATTAGAAGAAAAAAAAACTTGCAGAAGTCGTCCCACCATTTTTTCTTGTTCCCTGAGAACACCTCTCCCTTGAAAAGAGATGATCTTGGGGAGCCTTCAGCCATAGTTCATAACACGCTTTCACCTGATTCCGATTACCTCGGACTCTCTCCTGCATCTTTATCTTCACGCCTTGATGTATAGCAGGAAGATTGGGAGGACAATAAGGTAGAAACTCATAATCTTTCTGCATATTTAACAAAAAAAAATACATTAAACACTTTACATGGATTCATGTACAAATATCTAAAGAGTCTAGTTCGTGGTCAGGACTTTCAAGCATTGAGCTCAAAGATGCTTCAAAGTCAACAGATATTGTACCATCTGTTTCAATGTGCAAGTTATCCATGAACGGCAAGGTTAGCAAATATTATATCAAGCATATTTAGCAAATATTATATCAAGCATCTGTTTCAAAGATGAACAGGATGAACGTTGAAAGCAAGAAGAAGATTGCACCAAACTAGAACTGAAGTCGACATATACGATATATGCATTAGTCAATTACACAGCTAGTGAATGATAATATCACTAGCTGTTGAAAAATCGTATCACAGCTAATGATAATATCACTAGCTAGTGAATGATAATATCACTAGCTGTTGAAAAATTGTATCACAGCTAATGATAATATCACTAGCTAGTGAATGATAATATCACAGCTAGTGAATGATATATGATAATTTTTCAATTGCCCGTTGAAAAATTGCACAACAATTACACAGCTAGTGAAATTGACAAGGATAACTTCTCGAATGGATACAGAATTGGTGAACGATGTTGCAGGAGTGCATGATAATATCAATGGAGTTACTAGTCGATATCAAGCAATCCCTCACTATTGCTTCTTCATCCATAAGAACACACAGAAGAGGAAATCTGGAAGAAAGGGCAAGTTGGTGTAATTACAGATTTTTATGTAGAACATAGTTTTTGTGTGAAGGTGTTGAAAATGCATTGACATTCCGATCGGTTGATTTGCAAGTCATTGTTTTGTTCGGCATTTATTTGAATTGATACCATCACATTTAAACATTAATTTGTTAAAGGATTTGGATGATATTACGTGCGTTGTTACTTTTAGCTACATAATGCGACTAAAACTAAAACCATGACTTCTGAGGAATTGTAGTACTTTGACAGTCATAATAGCATATTGTATCTGAGAAGCCTGGGAGATGAATACAATTCTAGGGATTATATCACGACAAAAGCAAATCACCTAGCGACTAAAATTAAGGATCCGACTCATTCCATGGAACAAAATTATCTTACTAACCTGCACCAATTCGGGCAACAATGAGGGCAGGAATTTTAGCTGTCACTGATAACAGCAACGAAGGCAGGAATTTTAACTGTCATGGGTAACTCTATATCGCTGTTCAGTAGGGAAATAGAGAAGCCACAAGGCGGACAGCCATAAAAAAAAGACTATGTTACAAAAACAGAACTACGTGCAACATATACATCAGTTTTCACGAGCTGACGAAAAATCTAGAAGACCATGATCATCACCTAATCAGATATGTTGAACTTCAATTAGAATCAGAACTACTGTAGCCAGGAAACACTGATATGGATAGTGGCTACTGAAAGGACTTGCATTAGAAACACTAGACAATGTTTCATTATTTGATGGATTGCTATAGAACAGAATCAATGTTTTTTTCGCATTGGAACCATGTTAAAGAAAATATATTTACGAATTAAAAATGTATTTAAACCTGGGCTTGGAGAAAGAACTTATCAAACGGACGCTCATGATCCGGGCCCCAGTTCTTATAAAGTGAGTAGTCCATGAATTGGCGGCTCACTTGCCCCACATATTGTCCAAATCTCTCAGCATTGGGGCCTGTGACACATTCTTCTCAGGATTGGGCCTTAATCGATTGGTTTTATTTGTAGATCGAACCTTCTGGGACGCCCGTGGCAAACCTGCATCAAAGTGCAATGGGATTTCACAGTTCATTGGCAATGGCACTCTTAAACAATATGTTTGGTGCTGTAATGAATGATACTGGTAATTTGGTATGTTTACAAACAACTTCTATTTTGCACATAATCATGAAATATGACACAGTTTGTTAACATAGTACTTGATTTTCCTAGAACAATGTTTGTCTTAAACTTGATTTCCCAAAACAGTGGTAAATATAACTTATTTGTCCCAAATATTTGTCACGCGGACTTATCTCTTTGGTCTAAAGTTGACCAAGCCCAACAACTCAACAACAATTGGCATTGGGCTAATGTCATTGTTAACAATATGCCATTGAAAGTGATTAACCTTTTGTCTTAAAGAGAATCCTAACGCATCCAAGTATTTGTAATGACTAAAAGATAAAGTATTTAGGGAAAAATGTGTCCAGGCCCCAAAAGCAGAATCTTCATGTGACGAGACCCCTTGTATTCTCCCCCATGTGGATAAGTCCCAAAAAAGCACCGTATAATATTTCAAGGCCCCTCCACGTCAGCGGTATACAAAGTAGCGAATGTATTTTGAAAATAACCCGAAATTGCCCTTCTCCTTCTTCCCCGGACACCTTGTCCCCTAAAGCATAGATAGTCACGTCCCATTAAATGCGAATAAGCGATAAGAAATGGAGGGAAATTTTCTCCCCTTTTTTTCCTCTATCACGAGCAATAAATTTAGTTTTCCATTACTCTTACTCAGATGAAAATTCTCTCCATTACTCTCTCTATCTATTACTCCTCTTTGTCCTAAAATTCGATCCATTACTCTCATCTTTCCTTCATAATGACTGAGAAGGACATCATCTGCATTGTCTCTTCGGGGGATAGAGCAGTATTCATGAAGATTACTTCTTCAACCATCATTCTGAATCTCAAATTTGATGTGTCGGAAATGTTAGATCTTCCGTATGATTCATTAAGTGTCATACAAAGACGAAACAAATGGAAACTTTAAATTTCCTATTGAGAACGAAGATAATCTGTCGTCTATGGTGGAGCATTGTCACAATAGAGGATTAAAGGAGGTTCACATACAAGCTTTTAAAGACAGAGGATTCTTCAAATATCCATAACAACAAGCAAGTTCGACAAGACATGTAGGTTAAAGGATTTTTTTGATGCTAAGATCAATATTTATGACGTTAAGTGTAAAATCAGTTAATGTTAGTTCATGTTAGATCCATGTTAGTTCTATGTTGGGTGTAATTGGATTTTAGCTCTAATTTGAGCGTATGTTAGTTCTAATCGATTGCATGTCAGTTCTATCTGTTCTGTTGTGAATTCTAGTTACAGCTCTATGTGAGGTCAAATTTGTTAGTTCCAAACGATTTCTTGTTAGTTCTAATCTACTTCTTGTCAATTCTAGTTCCAGTTTCATTTTAGGTCAAATATGTTAGTTCTAATCGATTTCATGTTAGTTCTAATCGTTATATTATTAGTTCTAATCGATTTATTGTTCTAGATATAGTTCCATGTTAGAATAAATATGTTAATTCTAATAGATTTCTTGTTAGTTCTAATCTATTCATTGTTAGTTCCAATCGACTTATTGTTAGTTCTAAGCGATTTACTGTTAGTTCTAGTTCAAATTCCATGTTAGGTCAAATATGTTAGTTCTAATCAATTTCATGTTAGTTCTAATTGATTTCTTGTTAGTTCAAATGGATTTCATACTAATTCTAACACAAACAGTTGTGTTTGCAGCAGAACAAAGTCTTGGATATTCTGCTTTTCCTTAGAATCCACAAACCTTTCCAGTTGCCCTTCAAGGTATTTTCGATGGGTGATTGTTGTTTTTTTAACTTCTTCCTCTCTTCAGATTTGAAAAGATTAGAGAAGTATTTCACCCAAATTCTGTTTTTTGAGTCTCGATTGATACTTAGGACTTCCCCATAAACTGGGAAATAAGTATGGTTATGGACCCATTCTAAATCAAATTTAACACTTTTCATCCCCCCAAATTTTGAATCAGGGATAGAAAATATGTTATTATCGCTATCATAACAGCTCAGCAATAGTTTAAGTGTGGGGGCGATCAGGCACAGGAGCCCCAAATAATATATAGGGCTCAAATATAGCCTCGTGGTATGAATCCCTATGCCACTGACGAATCTTCGAGGTAATACGCTTCATGAATTCAAAATAAGCCCCGATATTAGCGGTTAGCCTTATTGATTCAACCGCATCAGTATCAGCAACTTTTTTCTGTAAAAAAAAAATCAAAATTTCAAGTTCAATTAGACCCAACGTAAATTGAAATTAGACCTAACACTAACGGACATCTAATAGAACTAACGCAGACTGTTTAAGATAAAATCAAATTAGGGAATATTACGTCGAGTCCCCAAATATTGGATAACCTAGAATTTACTGCTTTTTTGGGGAGGGTTCGTTGGTATGGCCAGCCCTCGCCGTTCTTCTTTTCTGGTCTTGCCATTCTACTACCTGCCTTTGAATGACCATGTGAGTTTGAGCGGCTTCCTCGCACTGCCAATCCCAGATGAACCGTCTTTGTTCTTCAACTCGTCGCGACGAATGACTTCGCAATTGTTAACGGATTATGCTTCCCTGGACGACAATTTTCTGGTGAAAACCCTAGCACTGTTGAAATGCGACGAGAAAATTAAAAGTTCAAGAGTTTCGGTGGCTCCCCAGCAGTGAAAGAGAGGTGGAAGAGAGAGAGGGTACTTGAGTAAGGAGGGGGCGTAGTAACCGACTTCTGCCCCATTAAAGGGTGCTTTCGTAACTTCCTCTGGGTTTTTTTTGAAATCCGACACTTTGGGGCCTTAACACAAATACAGTGTGTATTTGGGGCTTATCCATATAGGGGAGAATACAAGGGGCCTCGTCACATGAAGATTCTATTTTTAGGGCGCAGACACATTTTTCCTAAGTATTTATCATATATATGTATATGATGATTAGCAAAGTCAATTTAAATTGAAATGGGTACTGATTAGTGCAATATAGATATGCAAAACAGGCCAGTCACATAAATTCACATGAGAAACATGAAGAAACATGAAGAAACCACATAATATAAACATATGAACTGACTGCGGCAAAAAAATGTATCATTGAAAATTCCAAAGAATAATCACGTGAACTAATCCTACCATAGATGAGTTTTAAAATTTGCAAAAAAATTATAGAAGAGCTAGAAACGATAGAGGATTTTAAATACCGGGCTCATATTCTCAGCAATGGGAAGGCCTAAAATTAGAGAGCTAGAGATACTGTCAATATTGCTCCTGCCAATAAAATGTTCTAATGAAACAATAAAACTAATTTCTAAAAAAAAATATATCTAAACCTAATAAGAGTTTTTCAACAACTTCTCAGTTAAAACCTCTCACCTAATAATTTCTTAGTTAAATCCGGTAGCCAGATGTCAAAGTCTTGTGAAGAAGGAATGCCCATATTCAACATCCCCAATAAATTTTTTTCCTCTTCGGTTTTTTCCCCTTCTCCATAGCTCTGGCATGGATGTTCTCATACCCATGGGTGAAATTTCAAGTGGCTTCTCCTCATCCTTCTCCCCCTTGTCATCGTCATCTTTCACCACAACGATACTTTTCTTCCCTTTCATTTTTTCAATATATCTAAATTAACCTAATAATTAAGGGTTTCTTCAATCAACAACAATTTCTCAGCGAAAACCTCTCACCTGATAATTTCCAATACCTCCCAACCCAGCGTAAGCATCTGTTGCTACTGCCTCCGTCCTCTTCATCATCGTCGTCCTTCATATCATCACCGGTGAACTCGTCAAGGGTCAGGGTTGGGTTCTTATTTCCCCCAATCTGATGAGTAATCTGGAGGAAGGAGAAGAGAGGATGGATTTTTGGATAGTGGGCACTGGGAGCTTATAAATTTAGACTGTGAAAGGCCCTCTTTATACCCAAATAAATAAATAAATAAATTAAAATAAAAAAATTGCACGTGAGGGACTAGCGTCATTGTGCTTCGTAAAACGCCCCCACGTGATGCCAATGTTTTAATGCCCAATGAATCCGGTTCATTAGTTTTGTTGGTCTTGTTAGATATTTGCCCCTAAATCTTGTAAAGTTTGAGTTAGCCCTCCAATCATTGAAACTTTGACAAGATCCCCCAGGCCGCGTTTGGTTCGGTTTTTTTTTTTTGTTGAGGGGGGGGGGGGGGGGGGCTGTCAAAGTGTCAGAACTTTAACAACTTTCTCCCAAAATCACCTCTATAAAGACGATTTTGGGAGAAGCTGCCAAACTTCTGACCTTTGGCAGCTTCCCCCCCCCCTTAAAAAAAAAAAAAAAAAAAAAACGAACCAAACAGCCCCCAAGTGTCATAGTTTACTTTGAAATTAGTTCATCCAATAAGATCATAGGTAGCAAATAGAGCTAGGGGCTAGTTTGGAGTAATTTATGAGAATTGAGTTACATAATGACAGTTTTATGAATTAAGGGACTAGATCTGAAATAGCTACAGAACTTAATTTCCTAATAGCCATTTCAATGATTTAAATGATTTATTTAGGAATACCAAAGATATGATGGACTAATGAGTACTGTTGAGGAGTACTGGTGACTATTGCAGGCTCATGTGAAGAATCTGGTCAGAGGCTTTAAATGAATCCAGAGGAGTGAGTTTACGTATCAAACTTTATAGGGAGGGGAGTTGTCACAGTCAGGGTAAATGTGGCCTCCCTTTTCTCAAGGCAGCAGTAAACACTTGAGGAGGGGGCATTAAAGAGACTTCTCCAAAAATGTTTCTTTTCTTTTTCTGTATTTTAATTGATGAATTTTTCTCACAATATATATAAGTCTTAAAGATGGATTTTCTCTCTACAAATTGTTTTGGATACTAAACTACATGACCGTACTACTCTAGGAAGAAACATGGGCTTGCTCG